CAAAAAAAAAAAAAAAATTGCACCAGAAGCTGCAGACATAGCTGAGGAAGGCATCTCACATACACCTTTCTGATACAGCTGAACATGTTAATTTTCCTTTTATCACTCTCAGGCAGGGGGATATTTACAATTAAATGTGATTTTTCCTGTCAATTTACTCATGCCAAAGAGAGTTTTAAAAATCTATTCCTGCTTTAAAAGTTTGGTGACCTACTTACGTATTTCAAGCGTGTTTGGAGTTCACCTTTCCTCTTGCATTTTGCTATGTCATTCTTTTGCCCTCGTTAAATGCTTCATGCAGCCAGGCTCCCAGCCATGGTAAATCCCATCATAAACTCTGCTTTATGACCCTCGCTGCGCTGGTGCTGCAATGGTCTGCCTTTCCCCTTGCCGAGCTCCCCAATGGCAGCAGAGGCAGAGTTTTAATCACTGTGAATTCAGGTTGTGGTCAGATTAGGTAGAAGATAGGATGCATGTTTGTTGTTTTGCAGTGATGTATTGTTTCTGGGATTACTGTGCTGAATAGCAGAGGGTGTCAGCTGATATTTATTACTTTAAGCTGTCTCAGCTGTTCTGGTTCAGCAAATAAACCTACATTCAAAATGAATGAGGAGCTCTGCTTGCCTTGTATGCCATGATGTGTGCAAATGTGATTATTGCTTCCGAGGCAGGGGAAGCTGAAATCATTGTGGGAGCATTTTTAGTTATTTATTTATTTTTACTCTTTGCAGGCAATCATGCAGATTTCTAAAGCACACAATCAAGTCAAAGGCTTGACACCTCTCCTTCTAGCCCCATTGTTAAGCCCTGGCATTCCTCATGCTGGGAATCACTCGCTCCCTCTCTCTCTAAAGTGATAAGCTTTAAACCATGCTATTGATTGCTTAAGGCATTACATGTTTTACACCTACGTTATCAGTGTTATTGAAAGGGGAAGACACAAAGCTACCAGGCCTTAAAATGAATCTACCGCTCATCTTTTCCCATTTGCTCTGAGGATTTCAGACAATTTGTTTTACACTGATCTCTGCTGGGGAGATAAATAAATGAAACTGGAGACACCAACCCTCCCCAAGGTTAGAGTTAGAAGTGTTATTAGTGTAGGACCTCATGTGCACCCCAGCACAAACTGGGCTCACTTATTCTTTATTTAACACAGCAACAAGGACTGATTTCAAAAGTTGCTGCTCCCCTTCAGATAAGAAGTGTCACATAGCGCAGTTATCAAGGTGAATTGGTATTTTCAAGTGAGAACCTCTCTGCTTTTGATTAAGCCCTGAGGACTCCCTCTCTTCTCTCTTAACTCTTTAGCTCCCCTCTGACATGGCCATCATCTTTGTGACTGAGGGACAACATAGAGGCATGGTAGTGAGTGTCAGCTCACCCTAAGGGCCTGCCATACTTTGCCTTGGGCTATCTGTCCTTGGGGAAGTTGAGGTCCTTGGCAGTCTTTTGGCAGTCTGGCAACAAGGGTATAGGAAACCAGAAATACTGCTGCTGTGGGGCTCGCAGTGATGTTTGCCCAAAAGCACTGACCTTTCTTACGGTCTAACTAAGGTTGTTGTTATAATGATACAAAAATGACCACTGAACATAATACAGTGAAATCCCTCTACTCTGAACTCTGAGTTGACATTTGCCCGACTTCCAAACACAAAGACGTGCTGCTCCCCTCTCATCCCCCAAACCCTACCTTTTGCCTTTGGGAGAGACACCTCATAGGCAGGATAGAGGTAAGGGATTTGATGGGACACAAATATGAGGAGACTGCGCTTCTTGCACTCTATTGTGCACGTCTCCTAACATATAAGTGACAGGAGCAGATGAAGTGTTGCTTTGGCTTTCAATAGCATATCCCATTCTAGGATCTCAGCAATAAACTCACAAATCGGGTATTCACGGCACAAGTGTTGCCATCCTGCTGGCACTGGCCAGAGAAGTCATCCACACATTTTTAAAGAGATACCTTAAAGAGTATATCAGCCTCTTAAAAACATGGCCACATAGCTTCTCACCGAACCCCTGTGGGATCCCTGGGGACCATTTTCTGTGGGGGCCCTGAGGAGCAGGGTTTGGTTATTGCAGTGACTTTCATGGATCTGGATTTCAAGGCTTGCAGATGAGCAGAGAATTAGAGCTGTTTTCTTAACAGGGGGCTGACTGTATAACAAACAGTCCCCTAAAATCCAGTCTCTAAGATAAGATGACTTGCCCGAGGTTACACAAATCATCTGTAGCCAAACCTGGAACTGAGCCTTCATCTGCCACTGACGTACCTTGACTGCAAAGTGATCCTTCCTCGAAGGACCTACACATAGCAACGTGATGAGATGATGATACTTTTTTATGGTCAGATGAAAGATTTAATAACCTCTGTGTGACAACATCTACCAAGCAACGAAGCACTTATTTTTTTAACCCACAGTGGTTTTGGAGACAGAAGGGCAGGCAGGGGGTCGATAAGGAGGCAGAACACGGTGCTTGCAGAATGGTGGTGGGGTGGGCTTGGGGGAATTCCTCCTCCCGTTGCTTGACTAACATTACCTTTCTCTGTCTGAAGGACGGCATGAACTGGGTGTGCAAAAATGTCAGTGCTAAGAAGAAGTAAAGCGTTCTGAGCTGCATGGAAATGGAGGAGCGGTGGGAGCAGAATTCTAGCCTGAAAACACTAATTTGCTGCTTTCTGACCAAATGTTTTTCCATCTGTGCACAGCTACAGCTGTTAAAAAAAAAAAAAAAGAGAAAAAAGGGAGCAACATCGGTTTAAACCTACTGCTGGATTTGGAACTTGACCTGCTATTTAGTATAATTTTTTTTATCCCAATAAAGGAATTACATATTTCCTCCTTATGCTTAAATAGTATTAAATGTCTGATTAGCAAGCAAGTTTGTAAGCAGAAGCAAGACGGATTCAGTGTGGAGCAGAGGGAGTGGTGAGTTACAGTAGTGGCTTAGATGCATAGGAGCTGCCCTAATATGCGTAGTTGCTGAGGACAGGCTCGGGCGTCAGTCACAGCTTCCCCTCAGTGACAGATAAAATGCAGTTGTGTTACCAGTTGTGGGTAGATTCTTAAAATAAAGCTGCTAAGGAGTCATTTGTGTAACAAGGGTAGAAGACTTCCACATATTCCTATAGCCATAAAAGAAGAGTTTGATGATAACGAGGCACTGTTGCATTGCGACACCGCTGTAGAAGGGAGAGAAGGGTTATATGTGTATAATTGAAGCTCTTTACAGTTGGCATAATGCAGGATGAGTGTGCCTAGGGCTTTTCTCGCAGCTGAAGGAGAATTTAGCCCAGCATTTCACCTTGAGCCAGCAAAATCGTTGTTCCTCTGTTCAATAAGTTCCATATGTGAGATTAGTCTTGATGTTGAACAATCCCTGTTGATTTTCCCTTGATGTTAAGGCAACTCTGCAGGAAAATGCAATTAAGTCCATGATTACTTTCTAGAATGAGATATCAGGTCCCAGGTTTCCTTCTTTGAAATGTGCAAAATGTATTCTCCTACCCCACCACCTCAGCATGCCTTGCTTGGTGCCTCCAGGGACTTGGGGGACTGCCCCATGGCAGGCTAGCTGTCCAAGGCCTGAGGTGCCCCAGCCTGGTGCCCGGGTGGAGGGTGAGCATCCTGGTGAACAGCAGATGGGAAGTGCTCTGTAAAACGAGTATTCATTCTTCCCTGGACTGCTTTCCCTTTAAAAGGACACAGTTGCTGAAACAGGAAAGAGAATGTGATTTCCACCTCCTCCTCCCCAGTTCAAATCTAGCCCCAAACTGACAAGGGAACGGGAGCGATTAGCACGCCAAAATAGCCATGTCCTGCATGAAGTGAGCTTGGTGACTCCTGGGCCAGTTTCTAATGCACAGATGGTAAAATAATCCCACTGCCCTGCTTGCCAGCTTTGTTTGCTGCCTGCCTGCGGAAGGCCAGAGAATGACTGGGGACTGCATTACCCCTTCCACCTCTTGGAGACGGGCGGTCGCGCAGGATGGGGAAAGCTGCATGTACTAAAGCATGTGGCTTTACCACGCGTCAGCGAGTTGACTCATGGACCCAGGCAGACGGCTGACACCCCTGGAGCTCCCAGCTCTTTTTTCCTCCCTTCCGCTGGACATCTCCAGCTCACGGCACAAACATCTGCACTGTACTTGAAGCAGCCCCTGGCCGCCTACGTGTTACAGCTTGGCATATTAAAATCATCTGGGGCTCATTCCCGGTCCCCCCATACATCAGGATGTACAGTAGCAGTTCAGGCATGATCTGTGTGTAGTTCAGCTGTCTTTGCTGTGGCTGGGGGCACAGGGACAGCTGGGACAGCAACTGCTTTAGCAATCCAACTTTAATCTGCCTGCGTCCGTGAGTCAGCACCCTGCTAGTGCATCTGTCTCCAGCAGGGAGGCAGGACACGCATGCCGGAATAGCAGAGCCTTGCTTTAAAAACCAGACGACTGGGGAGCGGGGTGGGGGGGAAGAGTGGACTCAAGTGAGCTGTTAAGCAATCGCTAATGACACAAAGTGACACAGCTCCGGCTTTGCATGGATTGACTAAGGAGTCATAAGATGAGATGTTCATTTAAATGCAGCTTGCTCGGTAACTCCCCAGCTGCGCAGGCTTATCGGGAACACTGCACATTTGAGCATGGCATATTCCTGGGTCAGTCCAAGAAGGAGAAATTCATCCCAGCATCACCTTTTCCTTGCAAATAATGCATTTGCCTGATGTAAGCAATGTAAAGAATTGCAACCCTTTCCTGTGGGCAGGCTTGTGCTGGCTGAGTGGCAGAGCTTTGTGACAGATAGTCCCCAAGCTTTGGATTTGCCTACATTGCTTACCAGATGCAGAGGGAAATGCTTGGGTATCTCTCCTCTCGCCCAGGCAAGGCAGGGTAAAGTACCCTTTGGGGCTCAGGCATTGATCTTTCACACTTGCAAATGACTTGAGTTGGTGCTTTCTGGCTCCCTACTCTTTTAGCAGTGGCAAACCTAGTCTGTGACACTCCACCAGTGCCACAGTTGGCTTCCTGGGGCTGAAAAGCATCCAGGAGAGTAATGTATTTTTTTTAAGTCTCATGCTGGTTAAACTTGGAAATGTGTATTAATTTTCCTATCACTTTAGTTGGGAAGGAAAAATTGCCTTATTGAACTCAGGATCCAGAAACATTTGCTGGCTCATTTGTTATGTTTGCTTGTAGCCACACATATTGGTTGTGTGCATCGGTACCTGCCAGAGTGTCACCTGTAACCCGGTAGTTAATTTGGTTTTCCTGTGCTAGGTGGTAAGAGAGGAAGACTGTGATAGAGTGAGCTGTGCTGGGAGGATGGAGGTGAGGGGTTTAAATGACCATGTCTTAAGTATATCATCCTGCAGTGATGGCTGCAAATGTTCATTGTATTGTAAACGTTTCTCTGTGCAACCTGGTGAAAATGTATAAGGATTTGAGGTTCTGTTTACTTGCTGCTCCTTATCTGAATGTATTTATATGTGCTATGGCCTCTGCAGGGCTCTCTGCCCTGATCAGCACCTGGCTAAAAACCACCTGGACAAGCGTCTGGGGCCAGCCAGAAACGCCTGCCACCCATCAATGCAGCCCCTGCCCCTCTGGCAGCCCTTCAGCCCCGCCCTGGTTTATGGCAGTGGCACACGCAGGGCTCCGTCCTTCCAGCGCTGTCAGCTTCACCCTCCTTTAAAGTGAGGCTGGGGGAACCAAGCGTCTCATTGGTATGGGTGGAGCTCTGCCACACGTCGCATCAATTCTGGATTTTTAAAGCCAGAAGGGACCGCTGTGTTCCTCTTTCCTGACCTCCCGCATACCACAGCCCGTTAAACCCCACCCCGCCGTGGTGACTCACGGCTGAACCAGAGCCCCTCTGGTAGAAAGAAACCCAGCCATGATTTAAAGGCTCCGAGTGACAGACAGACCTCGGGATGTTTGTCACAGGGGTTAATTCCCCTCCCGTGCTTCACTTTCACATCATTAAATCTGGTTCTACCTTTGCGAGAGATGAAAGGAGCCTCTCTTGCACCATTGTGTTCCCTGGAGGGGAGAGGTGCTGGAGAAGTGAAATTCTCCAAGGGCAAGTCAGAAAATCTGAGTCCAAGCTCCTGCTCTGACCACGAGTGCTGGGTGTGGGGGATTCATGTCCTCCCCCAGCTGTGGCCATGTCCTGCACTGCAGCTTTGCTGGAGACTGTCTCTCCTGCCCTTGGAGAATGCTTCCCAAAGCCTCTTGCAACCTTCTCCCATTTTTCCCACTACCTGTAACATTTCTTGCACGTTAATGACTTCTCTCTCTGTCAAAACTGTAACTGGTCACCAGACTCTTTTTATGAAGTGTACTGGGCGGAGACCAGCCCACTCCATCATGCTCTTCTCCAAAATCAAAAAGTGATGGCTGTTGCATTCCCTGGGCCAGCCAGGTCCACGCAAGCTCGCTCTTTTATGTTCCCTTTTTGTATTTCACCAAAAAGGGATATTTGCAATATCTGGTCTTGTTGTTATTCAGTGTATAATTTAGATGTCTTTGTCACAAAAAAAAAAAAAAAAAAAAAAAAAAAAAAACAAAATAAATAAAAAAAACAAAACAAAACAAAAAAAAAAAAAAAAAAAAAGAAAAAGAAATAAATTAAAATTTAGTAGAAATACAAGTGGTGTTTGGGGGTGATCCTTTTTTCTTCAGCAGGTTCATCTTCTGACAGGACTGTCTCTTCACAAGGAGCCCCCAGTCAGGCTGCAAAGCTGCTCTTCCATTGCTCCTGTCATCCCACCACAAATGGTTACTAGAAGCAATCAAAACTGCTGAAGAAGCCTTTTTCCTTTGGATTTTCACTATTCCAAAATTATCAGAGAAGTCAGCCAGCGAGAAAGGGAAACTCTGGGAGGATCTTCTTTTTTCGAAAATTGTGTTGCAGGTTAAAAAAAGCATGTCATGAAACACATTCTCCGCTGACCTGGCAGGAAAAGGGAAGGGGAAAAAGGAAAGCAGCAAACTATTTAGGTCTGGTTCAGTGCAGTGGGGTTGGGAGGGGGTTAGGAGGGAGGGAAGCAAATCTGTTGCTTTCCAACTAATCTGACTCATTACTGTTCCTGCAACACCCAGATGGGCCAAAAAGCGAGAAACTGTTAGAACTCTTTAAAGCATGAGCTCCCTCCCTGCACAGTCAGGATGCCTGGAAGGCTGTCAGAGCCACTGGAAAAAAAACATTATAGATGGTCACACTTAATTTCCTTTCTCTTTTTTTTTAAGGCACACTTTATACTCAGTCCTGGTATTTTTTCAGCGAACTAGGAAATACTTTTTCATCTTGTTTGCCTAATGGATTGGATGTGAAAAATATTTCTCTGGCAAGTGAACACCCTGAGAGTTGTTTGACTTGTCACAACGTTATGTATTGGCCCCTGCGGCCCCCGGCCCCGAAGCGGCTGCGCTTCCCCTCTCCTGTTGCTGTTTACGGTGGGACGCGGTAATTTATGGGGAGGCTGCGTGTGACCTTGCATGCGTCTGCTCGAGCCAACCGCGGGTCCCTTCCCCGCACAAGCCCCGCTTCACATCCACATGATGAATTTAGTGCTCCCGTAAGGACAAGGAACTGAGCGGATTGGGTGTGGGGAGGAGAAAAAAAAAAAAAAAAGGAAAATAATAATCTGCAGCCTGCAGGAGAAAAAAACACTGAGATTTTTGTTCCTCTTTGACCAGTATTTCCCTGTTTACGGCCTCGCACCCCCGGACGCCAGCCTTTATCAGCACAGAGAAGTGGTCTGTGGCTGCAGAGCCGGATATTTCAGCCTCCGCGTTCTAGCCGCGTTGGCATCCCCCAGCCCGGCCTGCTCTGCTGGGACCCGTCGGAGTGGGGCAGCTGGACCGATGGCCACGGCCGTGCTCCAGCCCACCCACCCGGGCACCCACCCAGGCGCTGGCTGAAGCTTTTTTCATTTTATTCTGTTTTGTTTAAGTGGAAACAAGCTCGCACCGCAGCCTCGTGATTGGCTCCTGTCGAAATGGCAGCTTCGGGCTCAGTTGGCTGAAATTGGGCTTGTTGGATTTTTTATTGCAATCTGTTCACTTATTTCCCTTCCCCGCACCGATTGGAAGCAAAACTCTTGTAAAGCCGTGGTCAGGCTGTGCCCGTGCTGGGGGACGCTGTCAAAGGCTTGCTGGAAACAGCACAGGGTGGGGGGGGTACCCCTCTGGATTTCCTATGTAGCTGCCTGACCGAGATGGATATCTGTATCATTTTTAATGGGAAAAGGAAAAAAAAAAATCACATTCAGAAGAGGAAGGGTTGGAAGGAGCCCCTCTGCTTGTAACGTGACAACACGCCTCTGAGCTGCAGCCCTCGGGGCGGCACAGCCGGGCAGCCAAACACAGCCCCAAGTAAATAAACCTGGAGGAAGGGGAGCTGGCACGTGGGTTAGGCCCCAAGTCTGAGCTGCATTAGGAGCTGGCAGGAACGCCCTG